ACCGTTGTGTCGTGTCCCTCTCCATTTAGCCGTTTTTTTTTTTTCATTCGTTCGCCTTTCCTTTCTCCTCCCACCTGTGGGAGTCACGCACAAGGGGGGAAAATTTTTCGTCCGGGGGGTGGTGAAGACACTTCACTGGATGTTCCCGGTTAGATCTGCGGCAAGGAGCTACTCTGGAGAAGCGCCGGGCAGACATGCCCCAACCCCGTTGTCGCGTCGCCGCCTAGCATGCCAGAATGGCGAGTGGTACAGATGACGAAAATGAGGCGAATTCGTTAGCAGGACACTGCGGACATTCGGGGGGATCCGAAGTCGCAGTGGGAAATAACTCCAATTTGTTCGGTTTGGCAGTGGAGGGATGTAACCCCAGTGGGAAGAGTTGCTCAGGGGGGGGTCTCCCACGCAGGGAGGAATCAAACGGCGAGTGCATCTGTGCTGGTTCGCCCGGAAGGAGCAGCCCTGGGAGGAGCGCCCCTGACAAGAGCGACTATCGCAGAGAAGACTGTACCCAGGACAACACAGACATGCTGGGCGACGAAGAGGAAAGGCACTTCTGCAACGTCTGCTTCTCTTTCTTGTATTACAAAAAATATTGCTTCTACGAACTGCTCAGGATCTATAGAAACGTGTCTTCCCTGACGCACGAGGAGAAGACTCTCCTCACAGAATCGATTTACTGCAAATTGTACAAAATGTACCTGGCCGTCCTGAATAACTATTTTTTTATTTTAAACATTCTTCTTCCCCAGATTTCAACTCATATCATTTTGCACCTCCTGGCACACACGGATCAACGCGGGGACATGGTCATCGTGGAGGACTCTTCCAGCGACGGGGAGGAGAGAAATGGAGAAAGCGTTGCAAGGATTGGAAGCGTTCGGAGCGGCACGGAGGATGCCACCTACAGTAGCAACGCTGAGGAGGGCCACTCCGACGGAAGAAGCAGCGTCGATGGAGAGGAGAAGACCGCCCAGGGGAAAACGAGAAAGAAGAGCATCCAACGGAGCAAGCGGGCCAAACGCAGCAAATGGGGCAAAAGAATCCCCCGGGAGGAATACACCATAAATGAAATATTGGACCATTTAACTGAGGAGGAGAAGGAGAAGATCGATCGGGAGTATAACTGGCACAACTTAGATGCAAGGTTGCTCTGTAAAGATAACCCCATCGTTATACTAAAAGAAATCAGATCTAAGTTAATGAGTGCCAAAGAGAACCAAGGGATCTCCAGGGAGATTCAGATTGAGCTTGAGCTGAATCTGGAGCGGTCCACGTCGGTAGATTATCTGGACGTCGGTTACTCCACCGGCAGGGCAACCCACCATAAGGATGAAACAGGTGCCAATCTTTTGAGCAGTTCATCGTTGTTTCCTGAGGAAGAAGGGGGGAAATCCCATGGAGGAGCAAAACAACAAGGGGGAGGAAAACAAAAAGGGGATCACTCCCCCCCGGAGCAGTCACACGGGGTATGCCCTGACGAACAGCTCAAGGAGGAGCCGAGAAAGAGCCTGCCCTTCCCGGAGCACTACAACAGGCAGTATCATAAAAGACAGGAGAAGGAAGAGGCGGACATTCCCAACGGGAAGGGGAAATCGGAAGATATCCTCCATGGGGGCGGCGAAGTGAAGGGCCAGTCAAGCGGCGAATCGAAGGGGCAATCGAACGGCGAAGTGAACCACGAAGCCTACCTCGCGGACCACCGCAAGCATCACAGCGAGTACGCGTTTCCCCGCCTGGATAGCCCGCCGGAGGAGATGCGGCTTGGTGAGTGGGGCGCGAACGACGAGCCACGGGGGGAGACCGCTGCGCCAGATAGGGAAGCGAATGTTGGGGGTACTCCAAATAGTGCTCCCCCAAGTAGGGATCCCCCCACTGGAGCCCCCCCGAGTGGAACCCCACTCCAGGGCGAGCACGTCCCCCCCGGGCGTCGAATCACAAGCGCGTACAGCCCCACGCTCGACGAATACAACCTGCTACAAAACATGAGCAAAGTGAGAAGTACACTGAGACAGTTCGTTCGCGACTGGTCCATGGAAGGAAAACACGAAAGAGATGGTGCATACGAACCGATGCTAAAAAGTCTGGATAAATATGTGCCCATAACAGATACGTATGTCCCCAAGGTTCTCTGTCCAGGATCAGGATTGGGAAGGCTTCCATACGAAGTAGCAAAAAAAGGGTATAGAAGTCAAGGGAATGAATTTTCCTACTTCATGCTCCTTGCATCGAACTTTATCCTAAACTACTACAATGAAAAGGATTCTCTAAAAATCCAACCCTATTGCCTGAACACATTGAACCGGAAAAAAAGAGACGACCACCTCAAAGCTGTAACGGTCCCAGATATAAATACCTACAATAAGGCCATCCTAAGTACCGACTTTTCCATGTGTGCAGGTGAACTGATCGAAGTTTATGACAAAGAGAGAGGATCCTTTGACGCAGTTCTCACCTGTTTCTTCATAGATACAGCGAAAAATATCTTCTTGTACATTCGAACCTTTGCCAACATTTTAAAGCCAAACTCTCTATGGTGTAACGTCGGTCCTCTCCTCTACCACTACTCTGAAATGACGAATGAACTCTCCATCGAGTTGTCCTGGGAAGAAATTGAACTCATCATTTCGAAGTGGTTCACTTTTGTGGAGATTGAATGGATAGACAATTATTATACGACCAATGTTGACTCCATGATGCAGGTGCAGTACCACTGTATCTTTTTCTGCGCCATTCGGAATGATGTCCCTGTGGAGGACCCGCCCATGGGGGACCCCCCTCAGGGGGGCTAGCAAAAAGGAGGAAAAAAAATGGAAAAAAGAGAGGGAGAGAGAAAAAAAAACCCTCAACAGTTATCACCCTGTTTTGTAACTGCCCTGCCCCTCCACTGAGCATGTTTTTTTTTCTTCTTTTTTTCCTAAAAAACCTCCCCCTCCATAGTTCCGCGAATGCTCACGCACGCACTTGCGTGTAGGACCATTTGCGATTTTTTTGTGAACCGATTTTCACCCCCCCCTGTTTGGTAACACTGCAACGATTTGGCTTCTGCGTCGGCGGGGCGGGCCCTCAGAGGGCCACCCACATGCATGCAGAGGTACACCGGCCCAGGGACAAATTAACCGCGGCACTCTCTTAAAACGTGGAGGCAATACAAACGGCCGTGATGGCATCTCCTAAGGTGACAGATAAACTGAGAACATGTGCGCCTCGCGAAGGTTACCCCCCCAGACACACTCCGAGCCGTCCTCACCGTTAAACAATCAGCTACAACAACGGGCTTGCGCGACACAGCGACGGATGCTCCCCCGGAGGGACAACCCAGTGGGGAATGAAGTAGCCCCTGTGTGATTACACGTCGGAATATAATACCTTCACCTGTTAGCGACCCCCCGTTGGAGCCCCTTTGTTAGGGTTGGATCCGTTCTATCCCCCCTATATCCACTTGCCTACCCACCTGCCTATGTTCATTCCCCTTGGGAACCATTTCAATCAGATTGTGATGCATGTAGGATTATCCTCATGATTTATGTCTTTCGGATGAGCTGGGTTATGTTATCATCATGTTGAAATGGTTCCTTCGGGATGGAGGGGCCCATTGTTTTTCCTGACCATGTGCAGGTGAAGGGTGAGTTCGTTTGAGGAAGAATGCATAGAAGTGAGCCATCATCCCCGTGTCGGCGTGGATTACCGTTTTGCGGAATGAGTGCTCTCTTAACTGATTGCGCGGGGAACAAAGCGCGCGTTTCATTTTGCGACATTAGTGAAGAGCGGTTCACCCTTATGCGTGCGATGCGGAAGCAGAAAAGGGGAAAATACCAGTTGGCCGACTTTTGTACGAAGCTTTGTTACAGGGGGGGCCCCTTCTTCAATCCGGCAAAAAGCAGCGCGGCGAAGCACAACGAGTGGAAAAGAAAAAATAAAAAAAAAAAAATTAAATTAAAATTAAAATATAAATTACAAAATATAAATTATAAAAAATAAATTAAAGATAAATTTAAAGATAAATTAAAAATAAATTAAAAAAAAAAACAAAAAACGGTGAACCCAGGTATGCAACGATGCGGAGAACCCTGCTGAGTGCGCTTAGCTACCACAGGAAGAGCATACAAAAGGTGCTGCTACTTCTAATAAAGCGGAGGCATATGCTAATCAAACCCCTGGGCCGCAGGCAAACTACCGGGCATACGTCCATCTAACGGCCCGCTTCTCCAACGTTTTCATCTCTTCATTAACACACCAGTTCGATGGACATAACACCGGAAGGAACTCCTGACAAGCCAAAATGGGAAAAAAAAAAAAAAAATCGAAAAAGGCTATCCCACTTATTATCGGAAAAAAATAAATCGGAAAAGGCTATCGACTTAGAAAAAAAAAATAGAAAAAAAGTCTGCCCCTCTTCGCGAAAAAAACAAAGTTCATTTTAACCCCCTCAAAAGAAAAAAAAAGAAAAAAAAAAACTCCCTTTTAAGGGCAACCGACTTAACACGAACCCGCAACTGCAACTGCAACGGCAGCTTTACATACTTACGGATTTGTTAAAGAAGGATCACTCTCCTGCGACGTCGTTAATAAAGCGAATTGACTCCAACCATGTGCGGCATCCTAGCCATTTTCCACTCGTCCATTGAAAGGCACCGACTGCGCAGGAAGGCCCTGGAGCTGTCAAAGAAGTAGTGACCGAGCGACGAGTCCTGGCCGATCCACGGTTCTTCGAGTGAACATCTCTTCATTGCGTGTCCATGCACTGTAGAGGGGCATACAACGGTTGTGGTGCATTAGTGGGGGCAGTTAACCCTTGTTCGCCTTTTCTCTAACACGTTCTTCGTTCCTGTTCGGGCGTGGGTTCTGAATGGAACAGAGTTGGCATTCCACAAAAAGGGGAGAGGGGACACAGGTGTAGATGTGCTTGTTTATGTCCATATGGACAAATGTAATGGTGCATCCTCTGGAAAAAGGAGAGTAGGCTCCTCTTTTGCTCCCCCCACTCGTCAACTATGTTGTCAATCAGACAATCGAACCAGTGGACATGACACTCTTCCGTTCCTCTGCCTAAACGAGTGAATACTTTTGCATCCACCAACCGTCTGTGGTCCTATGCAAATGATTTGATAAAGGTCCATGGGGGAGTGCTTCCCTGGCGTAGCATTCCATTTGATACTTTTTTCTGAGGCCCTCTTCATCTTTCAGATGGCCTAAAAGGGATTTTCCCCCCTGCGCAGGGGTGTGCCAATGAGTGAGCACAATCCCGCGCCACTTCCGCCGCGAACACACCGCTAATACGCTGCTTCTAATCACCACTTCTATGCACAGGCTGAGGCACCGGGGCCCCGACTGGAACGGAATCGTGATCGAAGAGAATGAGGACGGAACGACCAACGTGCTGGCGCACGAGAGGCTGGCCATTGTGGACGTCCTCTCGGGTCATCAGCCCCTCTATGATGACGCCAAGGAAATATGTCTGACAATAAACGGAGAGATCTACAACCACATGGAGCTGCGAAAGCTCCTTCCAGAAGACATCATAAAAAGTCTGATTAGCCAATCTGACTGTGCAGTCATTCCGAACTTGTACAAGAAATATAGAGATAAAATGCCATCCATGCTGAACGGGATTTTCTCTGGAGTTATAAGTGACAAAAAGAAGAACACCTTCTTCGCGTTTAGAGATCCCATAGGGGTTTGTCCTCTCTATGTAGGATACGCATCTGATGGGTCCATCTGGTTCGCCTCAGAGTTCAAAGCACTAAAGGGTAGCTGCGTTAGGTATGTTAACTTTCCTCCTGGACATTACTACATCAACTGCAAAAATAAGGGAGAGTTTATTCGCTACTTTAATCCCAATTGGTGGGATCTAACTTCTGCCATTCCTAACAATAAAGCTGACTTGGAACAGATTCGAGTGCACCTGGAGAAGGCCGTGGTAAAGAGGCTCATGGGGGACGTACCCTTCGGAGTGCTTCTCTCCGGGGGGCTGGACTCCTCCATCGTGGCATCGATAATTTCCAGACATTTGAAGAAGATCCACGGGGGGGAAAGCGAGGCGGGTGCAACACAGCCGGCAAATCATCGGGCAACTGATAGCCCATCTCACCTCAGCAACGAAGAAAACTATGGGAATCGCCCCGCCGAGTCCTTCCAGCTTAAGAGTTTCTCCATCGGGCTGCGTAACTCGCCCGACCTGAAGGCCGCAAGGGAAGTTGCAAATTTTCTTGGGAGCCACCACACGGAGTTCCACTTCACCGTGGAGGAGGGAGTCGACTCTCTTCACGACGTCATATACCACATAGAGACGTACGACATCACGACGATCCGTGCTTCCACCCCGATGTACATCCTTTCGAGGCTGATCAAAAGCAGTTGCGTGAAAATGGTTCTAAGTGGAGAAGGAGCGGACGAAATCTTTGGAGGCTACCTCTACTTTCACAAGGCTCCTAACCGGGAGGAGTTTCACCGCGAGTTACAAAGGAAGGTGCATGATCTGCATATGTATGACTGTTTGAGGGCAAACAAATCGACCATGGCATTCGGGATCGAAGCGCGGGTTCCCTTTCTCGATCTGGATCTCTTAAACGTAGTCATGAATATTGATCCGAAAGAAAAAATGTGTTCAGAGGGACATATAGAAAAGGACATTCTAAGGCGCGCTTTCGCTGGCTATCTGCCTGACCATATCTTGTACAGACAAAAGGAGCAGTTTTCCGATGGGGTTGGCTACAATTGGATTGATGGTTTGAAGGAGTACGCCGAGAGTAAAATTTCGGATACGCAATTTTCACGCGCACCGTTTTTATTTCCATATAATACTCCCAAGACGAAGGAGGCCTACTTGTACCGCTGCATTTTCTCTGAGTGCTTCCCAGAACAGTGTGCGCAGGAGTCGGTCCCGGAGGGGTCCTCTATCGCCTGCTCGTCCAACAAGGCGGTAGAATGGGATGCGTCCTTTAAGCAGAACCCAGATCAGTCGGGCAGGTCCGTCCTCGGCGTGCACCACAGCGCGAAGCAATTCTCCGACGTCAAGCCCGTCCAGCTGCCCGACGATGAGAGCAGGGCGCTTCTCACAGGCGCAAGTTGATTGGTCAGCAAAAATTGGTCAGTTCGCACCAACTTCTAGGTGGAAGCGCCCTACTTGTTATGACTGCGTGGAGTGGCTACATATGCAAACCGTCTACTCCTGCAGGGGATCCCCTCTTTCCAATCACCACTACGTAGCCATATATGTAGATCCTCGGAACGGTGCAACATAAAAGGAGGGACGCACAGACGCAAAATGTATGCACTGCGAAAAAAACGTGGATGGATCAGCCACCACCCCTTTCTCTTCCCTAAACATGTGGCGTACTTTAATTTTTACCTGAATGGTAAGAAGCATGTTTGTACAAACCCAACCGGGTGGACTTTTTTTTTTTTTCTTCCTTTTTAACCGTTTTGCCTGCCTGAACTTTTTCCTCCTACCCGCTGTGGGAACAATTTAATTTGGGTTACTTTGCCGTTTGTCACTTGGGGAAGCGGGAATTGCACAGATTGCAGGGCATGTTCGATGCTCCGCTGGTGAAGCAAAATTATCTGCGCACTGGTTTCGTGGCCTACTTATGCAATAAAGGTAGGGAAAGCCTTTTCTGCAGAAAAACGAGCGGGGTGTTTCTCCCATCGATGGGCTTTCCTCGAAAAAGTAGCAAAATTTTTTTTTTTTTTTTTTACCTGACTCGTTCAGGCGATTTAATCATATTTTGCGTAACCCATGGGGATAAACAGAAAAAGATACATAGATATACAAAGAGGTACATAGAAATACGTAGCATGCTTCTTTTCCTTTTCATCCACGGTATGCTGCTTTTGCTTAGAAAATTCCAAAGTGCGTTGATGAATTCACCACTCCCCCGAGCGTGCTTCCATTTTTGCCAACACGTCCGTAAAGTAGAGAGAGAGAAAAAAAAAAACGCTTTACAATCTTTGCGCACCTCGTTTGATTACCACAATTTTTTCGAGGCATCCCCGTCGACTGCACTTTGAACACTACGATTGGTAGTGAGGGGAAAAAAAATGGTGCATACCTCTTTTTCTTCTTAATTTGTTTAAGCTTCCCTCAGTGGTGGGATCCCGTTTCTTGTTCGCTTCTCACCGCTGCGCAGAAGTTTGCCAACAATCTTTTCGCAGGGGGGGAACCGAACTGGATCCGTTTTTTTTTTTTTTTTTTTTATATTTTGCCATCCTATGGGAATATGATGCATGTATATACTATATGTATGTCAGTTGTGGGTATGCCGGGGTGATGTGCATTTCACGCATTTTACCCTTTCTACGCTTGTTGTGTATGCCGTAGGTACATGCCGTGGAGAGGGAAGCTACTTGGCCGTTCACCCGATGGGGAAAAAGTAAACAGTCCGGAAGAGTTCCGAACCGTACCGAAGAGTAGCATGGAAGACTGACAAAGAGTTGTCAATTGGGGTGCGTACCAGTTACGTGGCATCTTCGCGCAGGCACTGAGGCAGATTCATATGCCCATCGCAGCACTGAGGAGGCGTTTCCCTCAGTTTTGGTAAATCCCGCTTGCGCTTAGTACGCATTTCATATGGAGGCTCTGCTCCTGCTTCGTTTTTTCATTTTTCTTTTTTTACGCCACGTGCAAACAAATGTCAACGCTCCTTTCGCAACTTAGCAGAAAAAAAAAAAACACTGTGCAATTTTTACCTAACGGAATTATTTCAAGTACCTTTTTTTTTGCTCATCGGAAGGTTTCCACATTGTAACATTTTTTTTTTTCCTTCTCCACTTCACCCAACAGCAATAGCTGCAGAGATAGAGAGGAAACCAATCTGTGTTTTCGCCTGTGCTCATTGTTACGGCATTTTTCATCACACTGTTTGCGCCATTTTTGCTTTGCCACTTTGGGAAGAAAAAACTTAACTGTAACTGCAAAAAGGTAAGCAGAGATCAAGTGCGTCAGGCGCGCGGCATACAGAAGCGTATGCCCGAATGTATTCGTGAGTACGTGGGAGTTCCCGCGGATCCGCGTCAAATCGACTGGCGTCAAACCGATTGGCGTCAAACCGATTGGCGCCAAATGGACTATCGCCAAGAGTGAAGTGGAGAAGTACAGCTGTACCATTGTGACCTTCCCCACGTGACTGTGCCACTGCGCAGAGGAGTGGGCCGCTCCCCCCGCATAAAGGGATGATCTTGGGGGCTGCCTGCATCGTCTTCATACATCCGCCTCACTCCTATTAATCATTCAGCGGTGAGCACATTTTGCCTTTTCGCTTTGCATCTTCCCTGTTCCCTCTCTGACGCAGCTCCTGTTATCAAAATGGCAATGAAATACGTCGCGGCGTACCTTATGTGCATTTTGGGAGGAAATGAAAACCCAACTGCAAAGGAAGTGAAGAAGGTCCTGAGTGCAGTCAACGCAGGAGTAGAGGACGATGTACTAACAAATCTGATGAACTCACTAAATGGAAAATGCTACCATGAGTTAATTTCGGAGGGAATGAAGAAGTTACAGAATATTGGTGGTGGTGGAGGAGGAGCTGCCGCGGTGGCAACAGCTGATACGGGTGCTGTGAAGGCGGAGGAAAAGAAGGAAGAGAAGAAGGAAGAGGAAGAAGAAGAGGAAGATGACTTAGGATTTTCGCTCTTTGGTTAAACATTCAGCGCCCCTTCGGTTGAGCGAGTTATATGTGTGTGTATACCGTAGGTGTAGTGATATCTACGCGTCCTTCTCCTTCGTGGTATCCCCCCGCGTGAACTGGCAACCGGAGCAGAAGAATCTCTCTACCCCTTTGATGCGCTTTGCCGAGGTGCGCGTGGATATATAGCTTAGTCTTTCCTTTTATTGCACAGCATTTTCTGCTGTTCCCCACAGCGCATCTTATTTTATCGTCCTTCTGCTCTGCGCATTGTGTGTGTTCTTTCTGCTTAGCCTGTTATGCTTTCTATTCTCTCTACTGCTTTTATCTTTCCTTCTTTGTTTTTTTTTTTTTTTTTCCTACCATTCTCCATCGGCCAACCATGTGGCTACACAACCCTTTCATGCCTACTGCGCTGCACATTCGCAACTGCATATGTGTATTTCAAGGCGCACGAACATGGATCGGAATTTTTTCCATCCAAAAGGACGACTAGGAAAGGAAAAAAAAAAAAGAAAAAGAAAGAGAAAAAGAAATTTCAACCATATCATTCTTTCAAAATGGCAGATAAAAATGAAGAAGCGAACAGAATGGACAAACATGACCATCCGGATGAACTCACGAGGGAAAATTCCTCTTGGGGAAGTGAACAAAAGCTGATCAGGAGCTCGCTCATGGAAGAGAGGTGCACCCCCTTCCCGACCACTGTTACATCGTGCGCGTGGGCGAGGAGTGTGCCCCCCAATGAGGTGGAGTGGGGTTGAAGCGGAAAAGAGACGTAGTGGTGCAATAACGCAGTGGCGTAGAAACGTCGTGATATCGTGATATTGTGACTTGGTTATGTCGCGACGTGGGAGCAAAACTGCGGGCCAAATCGCGCAAGCCCCACGCCGGAACCCGCCCCCAACCAGTCATGGCCCATTCAGAGTGGAGCAAACGGACGTGTCACTTGTGCTAAGTGGTCTTAACTGATCCTAACTGCTGCTGACTGGCGCATCCCGCCTGAGCGCCCTCGCCAGCCGCACAATCGCGTCGCACTCCCGTATGAAGGAGTCGTTGTCCACAATACATATCACGCTCTGCCTGGATTTCTTAATGCACTTCCCCAAGAGGTTCTTGCTTAAGGCATAGACTAAAGGTATTCCCTTCTCCCGACACTTACAGATGATTTTATTCACCTGATCGTCAAACACTCCGTTCATCATAGGTTCAATGTTCGGCGCGAGAAGAACCAACTTAGGTTCGTCAATACAGACATGCTTATAGCTCTCTCTCATCCCCAAGTAGTACCTTTTCTTTTTTTTTCTCATTAAATGTAGTTTCTCCTGCGATTTGGAAATTTTCTCCAGAAATGATTTAACCATATGGTTTAGCTCCTCCGTTATTTCCTGATCGACATAGTCGTTAATGTAGGTTTTTTTTTCCACTCTGCTTTTTTGTATATAGTTCATCATTTTTTCGCTTCTTAGGATGCACTCTTTTATTTCTTCCCTGTTGGGGAGGTCCTCCCCCCGATCATGTGCTGGCTCAGTAGAGTCAGCGGAGTGTTTGCATGGAGAAGGACCATTTAGCTTCTCCGTCTTGGAGTGTACCTCAAGGGGGAGAACCCTTACCGCGCCCTTCGCAGCTGATTCGGCGGGCCCACTTCTCAGCAGCCCCCCTCTTGGGAACTTCCCACCCCACAGGAGAAGGAACCTTCTCAGGCGGGCGACTTCTTCACCTATCTGTGATGCATCAGCCGTTGTGCCAGTTGGGCTTTCTTCCACGTGGTGCCCATTGCATGCGTCGTGACTCCTTCCTCCTTCCTTTTTCCGTTGGCCCCACGGACAGTTAGCAGAGTGGGTGGGTATCATAGCCCTCCACTTGGCTTTTCGAGCGATAAATTTTATGTACCCCTCCCTGCCACAGTTTTGCGATCCCTCCATTTGTGGAAGTCTCCCTTCGCGTTCCCTCTCGGAACGTCCATTTTTATTTTCCTCGAGTAAGTCATTGTACACACTTTGTTTTGCTTCCTTCTCGAGAAGGATAAGCTTCTTCCGTTTGGTTTTTTTTTTCTGTCGAAATTTTTTTGGTAAAAAGTACACATTGCCTTTTTCCCGTTCTGTCTGAATAATCTTGTTCATCTTGCGGAGCATCTTTTTTTTTTTTTCGAATTCATTTTTTTTCTTCCTTTTTTGGCTAATGAGTATATTCATTTGTTTCCTCTTTTTCTGTTCCTTCCTTTTTTTTTTGTCACTGGTGAAGGTGATCTTAACCACTCTGTCTCCGATCTGGGCGTACCTCTCTTTGGTTATGTTGTCTGTTTGGCTCCTTTGGGTTTCCCTTCTTCTGTGTACTAGCCTTTTCGGAGGGGGATCTATCAATCCCTGAGGCGGGCTGCTCCCCCCTAAGTGGGGAATCCTCTCATTGTGAGGGTTCATCTGGATTGCGGGTCATTTCACCTTTGCGTTGTTCTCTTCGGGGGATTCTCTTTTCCTCAGGAGAGAGAAGAAAGAAAACAAAACAGAAACATCATGGGAGAGGCGTATTCTGTCCCTACAACTATGCTTGGAAAAGAGACAGAAAGGGCGGTGACATGGGCGTGTGTCGGCTCCTGCCAATTGGCGCGTCGCTTTATGTCGCCTCTAAATACGTTGCCTTCCCCGCGCGGTTACCCCAATTGTATTTCCTCGTGCCAGTACACGTTACCTTTTTTGCGCTGGCGCAGGGGGGTGATCATCATGACTTTGCCTTCACCTCGGCAGAGGTAGCGACAGAGGTAGCAGCGGCAGAGGCTGCGTACACCCCACGACAGTTCGGAAAAGAACCATCTGAGGAGTGACGGAATTTTTTTTTTCTTCTTCTTCTTTTCACCAACTTGACTCCCTGCACAGAGTTGCCTTCACTGCGCGGAGGAATATGCCCCCCCGTAGGCGAAAAAAAAAAAAAAAAAAATGAAGCCCCAATTGGATGCGCTATGGTCCGCAATGTACAGTAGAGTTTTTCTTCCGTTTCATGGCATCGTCGCCCCCTTTAAAGGATGAACCCTGGAAGTTGCTTCCCCGCGGCGCCGCCGCCTCCTCGTCCCCTGCCATTCGAGGGCATTGACAGTTTATGTAAATGATATGAATGAAAATCCGCCAAAATGAGTTGGCATTTTTTGTGCCATATGGGCAAGCGAGAGTTCCGTCTGCTCTGCGGTTGCCCCAATTGGGAGCTCACCAGACAAACTTGTTTCGCCTTCCCTGTGTTATACTCCGCGTGTCCTATACGGAGCGTCTTCCATGCATGCCTACCCATCTCGCCTTTTTTTTCCCAATTTCTCCCCCTCAGACACAAGTCCGAGGACTAAATTCTTTCTAATCAAAAGCTCGTCAGACAAAAACATCTACATTTCGCAAAACTATAACATTTGGGCCACCACTCCAAAAAATGAACAGAAGTTTGTTTCCGCGTTTACGGTGAGTTGCGCGTGGGACAGTAGCGGACGAATGACCCACTTTCGGGGAGAAATGCACCGGAACGGCTAGTGGATTCGGAGGCGACTTCGGCACTCCACCGAGTGGTCTCCCCTTCTGTCATCTCTCCGAATGGAGAAAACGTCGTTAAAATGGCTCATCTGTTTGGCCCTCCTGTTTGCCCTCCTCCGTTTGCTCATTTTTTTCCCCTTTTTATGCCCTTTTTTCCCCGTCCACCAGGAAAACGACTACGTGATGCTGATCTTCTCCGTCAATGCGAGCTCCAAGTTTTGCGGCTACGCCGTCATGCAGTCGATGTAACGTTTCCGTGGGGGGGCCGACCAGACGAATTCACCCGCCCCCCATGAACACCCATATGTGCAATGTCACACACAAGGTCGCACCTCTCCCCCCTTTATCTTTTCCCCAGGCCGGGCGAATCCAAAAACAGCAATGTCTACTTCTACTATGACGACAAGATATTTCGAGGGCGGAACTTTGACATTCAGTGGATTCGAGTGTAAGGCGGGGAGGGCAACCCTCACTCAGAGACCATCATCAAGATAGCCACCTCTCCCGCGACATGCTTCAAAATGAATCATCACACCAGGAGATCATCGCTCTGTTTATTGCTCGCTTCTCCTTCTCTCTCCCCTCGCAGCGTGGATGTGTCCTTTCAAGAAGTGTCTCACTTAAAAAACAGCTTGAACGAAAATAAACCAATCAAAGTTGGGCGTGATGGACAGGTGAGTTAAGTGCGCCTGGAAAAGTATCAACAGGCAAGGTGGACTAGCCAAAAAAAGAAAAAAAAAAAAAAAAAATTTCAAACAGGTCAGGCGGAAATGCAGCCAATGTGTTGATAGTAAACACTACACACAGAGGTTCCTTTTTTTTCTTCTTCTTTTTTGTCCCTCCTACAGGAAATTGAACCACTGGCGGGCATAAAACTCTGCGAGGTGTTCGAAGCGAAATACCTCAGCATGTCTTCTTGCGCGTAAAACTAAAAAATCCGTTATGCGCTCAAGAGGAGCACCCCCTCCCCTCCCCCTCATTGTGACACGCGTCAGCTCGTGTCTATATCTGCCCCTCTGTACAATTGCCCCAATTTTGTTAGGGACCAAGGTGCAAAAGAGGAGATACAATCGAATCAGGCGAAGAAGGCCAACCAGGAAGACGAGGCAAACCGGGGGAACCAGGCCAACCAAGCCAACCAGGCAAACCAAGCCAACCAGGCAAACCACTCCAAACTGACGAGTAGCACAACGCACGAGACAAACAAGACCCTCTTAGTGAGCAGCCCGCGCAGGGCGGACAAAAGGGACTGCGTGAAAATCTTCCCCCTCGGTAACACGTTAAACATAAGCTACAGCACCTTCAGAAAGATGTATGCCGAATCGCAGTTCAATCTGGTTAATATATACAATCCCGCACTGCACGTCTTCCCGATCGATCTCACCAATATGAGTTACGATGAGTACATCGATTTGTATGAGGCGACGCAGCAGGTGTGGCAGCGGAAGATGCTTCAGTTGCGGTCAGGCGATTCGGCTGCTAAACGATTTGACTGTTAAGCGGCTGAGCGGTTTACTTGGGCCATCTGCAGGGGCCGCCTAACCCCGCTAACGTACATCTGCGTATACACGAACATGTCCTTTTATGCCTTCCATCCCCCAAAAAATGACCCCCTTTTTTTTTTTGTACCCTTCTACTTTATCTACCCTTTAACCGCCACACCGACTGGCTCACCGCCACCCCCACTCTGATGCACCAACCAGTGGTAGCACCCCTCGTGCACCTGAACCACCTTCGAATCCATGTGGCTAAACAGGCTATTCTGCAAACAACGTACAAAGGTATCACAAAAAAGAGACTTCTCTCCATTCAGGAGAAACAGATTCATGGAGGGTACATAAACGACGAATGTAAAGGGACTGTCTACCAGATGCACTTCCTCCTCAAAGGGGACCTTCCGATCTTGAAGATATTTTACGATATTTTGGGTCCATATGTTATCACTATAACGGGAGCATTGGTTCGTCTTACTCCTTTGTCTCTCTTTCTTTATCTGCCCAATCGATCGTGTATACAAGAGGGTGACCTGTCTGTACTTGGAGCAAAGCAGGTCGAATGAAAACAACCCTTGAATTCTAAGAATATAAATAAGCTGTACCAGTAAGAGACGCCAAAAGGGGGGGATATCTGTACCGTTCGCTAATTCGATATCAATTTGATTCAACACGGGGGCTACTTCTTCCGGCAGAATCTTCTGCATGGAAACGGTCAGAAGCAGGAGGTAGCTGACATGGAAGGTGACCAAGTTAACATCGCCACTTATTTGGCAGTCCACGTCCAAGTTCACTCCACTGCCTCTGTCTATACAACTGCTCCAAGACGCCTGAATGCTCCGCAGTAAGCTTCCTACTTCGCCGCAGGGGCCGTATTTATCGACCCCCCTGGCGAGTCGCAACAGGTCCTGCGCAGAGCATCCGGCCCTCCTCTGAAGTAAAAAATCAGCGTAGCATAGGTAGTCTCCCCGGGTGGGAAAAGGGTCCTCCAGAGCATCACTACCTTTGCCCATACTCATCATGTTAAGGTAAAAGAATTCATACCTTCTAACCACCTCTGCAGATTGGACTTCCATTTTTTTACTCTCCCCTTCTTCGTTAAATAAACTTCTAATTTGTGCAAAACCGTTCAAATGGATGGTCCTAGTGTGATGGTTTCTTCTTCCTTTAGGTGCTTCTCCCTTGGAGCAGGTACCTTCCGCGGGGTCCCCACCCAGTGCGTACTTCACAGCTGCATTTTTCCCCTTCCATTTGAGGTAATCGTTTAGGGACGGCAGGAAGACGTTTCTGAATATGTCGATTATGTCTTCCTGCTGGAGGTGGCAGAATATTAGGTTGATCAGGCAGTCCACGTCGGGCCGTTGGCTGGCATCTCCCGCGTCTTTCACATCTTTCATGCCTTTCACGCCTTTCACGCCTTCCACTTCTTCCTCTTCTCCCCCTTCTGCCGCTCCCACGCCCAGGCCCCGCCGGATGGCCCACATTACCTCCTCCCGGCAAATGTCCACGATCTGCTGCCTGCGCCTCTCGAACGCCTCTTCTGAGGAGAGGTAGCCCGCCACCGCGTCATCCGCAGCGTCGTCCCCCTCCCGGACGCACCTCCTGTCCCGGGCACTTATCTGACTGTACCTGAGCCTTTTAAACACTCGATAGAAAAAAAAATGGTGATATGTACAGAGGGGCCATGAGTCTTCCTCGAATAATCCGAAGAAAAAATGTATAAAGTGGGAACCCTTCAGTTCGAAGTAGAGGAAGTTGTCGATGAGGGTGAGTAGGAGCAAATCGCCGAAGCGCTTCACAGCGGCGTACTCCTCTGGGTGCTTCTGCGCGTAGGTTTGCAACACTTCGGTGGGGATAGCTAACCTCTCCTCTGTGAAGGAGCGAAGAGACACTGCGTCCCCAAATGGGAACTCCGCCTGACAGGGACTACTGCCGCTGTTTCCACTCTGATCAATCGTGTGTGCCCCCTTCTTCGCCGCACCGCTCAAGCTCCTTCCCACACCGCCGTCGCTAACACAGTTATTAACGCAGTCGAAAATGTTCAGGGAGCTGTCCCTTCTCCTCATCGCTGAGAAAAACTTGCACACAAAAAGGAAGAACAGTTTAGCTAGCTGCTTGTTCATCATCAGGATGATGTTCAGATCGAAGTACTTGTCGTAAAGGAGCTTCCCTCCCAGGTGCATTTTCTCGATAACAGTTCGGTACATTATGTACTCGCAAATGGGGTGGTACTCGCTTCCTCCATTAGCACAGCTGTGTGGCCTACCACCGTCATCTGCGTTGCCTCCGCCGCTATCTCCGACACTAACTCTGCTGCTAGCTCCACCACGTTTCATGTAGTCCAGGCGGGGGGCACTCAAGTGGAAGAGGCCGTCCAGGCTGTCTCCCCCCGGAGTTCCTCCCATTTCGTCCTCCTCACAGTTGTCCGTTGCACCGATGGGCGCAAAGAAAGAAAGCACTTTTTTCCTCACTTCGTCGTAGGCAAGAGTGGGACCCCCACAAGGTGGGGAAATCCCATCATGGCATATCCCCCTCCAAGAGCCTCCCCTTCTCCTGGACTGCCCATTATTCACCCCATTTTTGTAAAAATGATATTGTCTCAGTGTTTGCAAAACCATGATGATATCGCTAAACGATCCATTCACTGCAACTTTTACAAAAATATTTTTTATGAGCACATCAAAACCGTTAATGAGAGACTTATCTTCCTTTAACAAGTAAAACAACTTGGCCAATATTTTTTTCAAAATCTTTACATTAAAAGAGTTCAAATTTTGCCTGTACATGTTCAGAATATATTTCTGCACAAAAGGACATTGGCAAAAAATGTCTGTATAGTAGGTCATCTTATCCGCAATGAGAAAATTGTTCATTGACTTCATCTCAGCAATTGAGTGATGTTTGAAAGCTATTCGTAGCATGCTATTGACGGAAGGATGGTCTGCTATTTGTAATAATTTCACCTGTTTGAGGTAAGTAAAAAATTGTTGCTCGTTTAGGATCTTCATCTCGCTTTTCATTCTGTCCATCATGAAGTGTATGAAGTTGTCCCTAAACATGCTGCTGAGGAAGTTGTTCCAGAGGTCGTCTGCTCCCAGTGGTTCATTGCAGATCAGCACTCTCTTCATGATTTCGTTGGTGCAGGCTGTGTAGATGTCTCTGTACAGAAGCAGGTCTCTCTCCGTCACGTGGGTCACTTCAGCCACTTTAGAGTGGTTCACCAGACCTGTGTCAAGGAGAGAGGGGTCGCCCCTTTCCCAGGTGGGTCCTCCATCGCGATCCTCCCGGGCAATGAACACCTTTCCTCCTTCTCCCAAGAGGGGGTTCCTCCGCGCAGCAGGTGGAGACACACATATACCATCCCTCCTTCCCCCGTTTATTACAATATCGTCAAAGCTGCTAAACACGTCGTGGTCCTTCTCATTTTTATTTATCCTAAGCAGGTTGCCTAGAAAGATATCTAACTCTTTCTGTACTTTGTTCCGCACCTTTTTGCGGTCACATGGAGAGTCATTCCCACTTGTGTGTGTGCCCTCCTCGGGGGTGATCTCCGCTTGTCTAACCGCTACCCTACCCGAGCGATCTCCCCTATGCCGGACAAGGCCGCTCAAATATAGGCGCTTCAAATAAAGGTTGACGTATCGAATGAGGAACATCATTTGCTCCAAGTTCATGCGATGCTTCCTCATTTGGATACACCTGTGCATTTTTCCGAAGGAGTGATTCATTTGGACATAAAAGAGGTGGAAGTAGAGAAGGTACTTCAAATTGTTCAGGGGGTCCCGCTTAGTATTGCAGATATACTTGTCACATAGGAGAACCACCTCTGTGTAATTTTGCTTCGTCTTTCCTAGATGGTACAGGACATACAACATTTTGATCACATCACCCACGTCTTCGTTCACTTTTGCGTCGCACTCTAGGAACATTTCCGCTTCGCACTTGGCTAGCTTGCGCTTCACTTGGTCCAGCAGTCGGTTCGCCTCGTCGTCCAGCCCTGCGGGGGGAGCAGAATGGGAGCAGCATGGAAGCAGAATGGAAGCAGAATGGAAGCAAAGTGGAAGCAAAGTGGAAGCAGAATGGAAGCAGAATGGAAGCAGAATGGAAGCAGAATGGAAGCAGAATGGAAGCAGAATGGAAGCAGAATGGAAGCAAAGTGGAAGCAAAGTGGAAGCAAAATGGAGACATACTGAAAACATACTGAAAACATACTAAAAAAATAGTGCAAAAACATAGTGTAAAAAGAGAGTCGGGGCCGCTTCGCCCAAACTGCAACTCCGCCTGGCAGCCCGAGGGGAGGAGGGCACTTACCGATGTAGTAAAGGAACACAATTTGCCTGCACAGCAGAGAAGGATAGACCAGCGAATTCCTATTGACAATATTTTTTAACTTGGCGAAGCATCTATCCTGCTTCAGCACAGTTAAGAAGTGCTCCCACATCTCCGTCTCATTAAACCTAGACGGAATGGTATGGTAAATATTCCTGAGTAACCCCAGGTATCTGTTTTTCCCCTTCGGATCAGCGTTGCTCTCCTGGTAGCTGCTGATGTAGTTTTTTACTTTTCTCAGCTTGTTCTCCGATGACTTGGCCACTAGGGAGTGAACCCCTCTGGCAACCTGCAAAAAAGCGCGGGTGGTCCAATAGTGTGTACTCGGTTGGCAGGAAGAGATGAGATGATCGATAGGTGCAGTGATAGGCGCATTGATAGCCGCATCGGTGCATCCACTTGCCCGTTTGAAAACTAATTGGCGACGCTCCCGTGACGCCGAAGCGAAAGAGCCCCTCGGCCGATCTGTCCGAACCTGAATCCGCATTAGTCCCTTCATGGTGGTAAGTTACCTGCGTGGCTGCAATTCTACTTAAGCTGGTCCTGGAGCGGTTAGCCTCGTCTATCTAAAAGGGATAGGAGAGTCTATCCAAAACGGTTACGTCAGTCCATCCAAAACGACTTGCCACACCGGTCCCTCTCTGTGTTACATTCCTGTCCACCGCCACGTTACCACCCCCCTCCCAGGGGCGGAACTTCTGTTCACATTGATAAACAGCTCAGAACCCCTGGTTGCATCTTCCTCTTTATATTTCTTCTCCCACGGGGGAATGAGGGGGGGTATCCAATTTGGCAAAAAAGATAACCCCTTTAGGGTTCGGTGCTTCTATTTAGTTAGCCACCGGTGTGTTCGTATGAAGAAGTGCTGAGTTGCAGGGACAGGCTCTTCCGCAAAAAAAAAAAAAAAAGTAAAAAAAAACAAAGAACAAAATGAACAAACAAACAAATAAGCGAATGAATGACACATATGGGGGCGGGAACGGATGATTCAGGCGCTACTCATGGGACGTACCCCTCCGCGCAAGGATTTCGAGCCAAATATGGAAGCTCCAAACGCGGCGGCTAATTTTACCTTCACTTGCCCAATTCAACCCACCGACTCAGTTTAACCATGCGCGGAAGTGATGACCAGCCAGGCAACCCTTTTTCTCTTTTTTTACCTTTTTTTCCGTTTTTTTTCCTTTTTTCCCCCTTCTTTTTTCCCGGCCCCTTTTCCAAAAAGTGCAACAGCGAAAATGTTCTGACTCAAGTGAATAAACAGATAAATACATAGAGTAACCGATTGATTGATTTTTTTTTTTCCTCCCAACAGCCGCCGCCCCTCCGCGTTCAGAACTTTCCTCCGATTAAGCTCCCTTTATATGTTCTTACCAACGGGGAAGTGTCCTCTTCGCTGCCCCTGCCTGCTCATGCACACCCTTCGACACGCTGGTATAGGAAGCAGAAAGGAAAAAAAAAAAAAAAGGACCTACCTCGTGGGGGAAGAAATGCAAAAGGGAGAGGTGAAAGGAGGAAAAATGCGTATGCCACTCAGCTGACACAAGTGGCAGGAAAGTAACCCTCCACAGAAAGGTATTCACTAGGATTGAAAGAGACGCAGCACAAACGCATGGTAGTATAAGAGAGCAGCATGATACAACCCCAAGAGGAGGAACACAACAATGCGGGTCGTCATTCTCGCCCTGCTTTTCTGTCTACTAAGACTCAGCTTAACGACGGAGGCGTACCTTAGCAACCGCGCAGTCAAAGCGAATTCCGCCCTCTACGCAGTGAGGAAGAAGAAGAAAAAAAAAATCACCAAGATGATTCACATTACTGTGAGCGCCGACAATGAAATAGGAACAAAAGGTTCGTCGTCACAAATATAAGAAATGTGTCGGCCCAGTGGATGTAATGACTGCTTTGCTAACCCTCCTTTTTCGACCTCTGCCCCTATTTGTCAACTTTCCCCATCATGATCCCCCGCAGGAGAAATAAAAAAGGTGAAGCTCTCGCACGCCTTCAACTATATCATACCGCAGAAACTGGGTTACAGGAGCACCATCGATGAGCTGGTCGAAAAGGAGAAGACTGAAAACACGCTCAAGTACATTGACGAAATGAAGAGGAGTTTTCTCTGGACGTACAAAAAGAAGCTTGACGGTTTTAATGTTCCCTTCCAGTTCTCTGACGGACAAAAGATCCTCGTCACTCAAGACGATATCCTGCATTATGTAAGGCGTGTGAGTGTACCTACGCACATAAGGCACATGCTTACATGTGTAATTCTTCATTTGTGCGTGTTGTTTGGTCCTCACCATTGTCGTCAGTGTTGACGTTGCTGTGCAGAGGGGAAATATCTCCCTTACCGCCGCCCTCACCGCCGCCCTCACCGCAGCTCCTAACCCGGGGGTTAATCCGCGAAAACGACGACGTGTACGATAAGATAAAAAGCAAAAAGGTGAAGCTCGACGACGTTGGAAGCTACCCGATGAAGTACACCTTTATGAACAGCCTCCACATAGACCTCACTGTGCACGTGATGAAGGTCAAGTGAGCAGAGGGCCCTTCCTACTAGGAGGATACATCGAGGATGGCACAAAGAAGCTACACCAAATCGGAGAAATAGCATAAAAGTGTCTGTATACTATACATATTTCTTACGTTTTCCTAATAAGCCGACATGTTGAAGCATTTCAGCCCACGTGAGTTACCTTTTACTTGAGCTTCCTCACTTTCGCCAAGTCGGTGAATAGCTCAAACAGGGAAACGCAACGGGAGAAGGATTTTCTGTATTCCCATCACACACACGTGAGTGTGCCCCAAAAAAGGAGAAGTGCCCCAACAGGAAGGATCCATTCATCCATATTGTTACACATTTACGGTGTAACATACCGACAACGAACAAATACCTGCAGACACATTCGGGTCTTGTAGCACTCCCTTTTTTGTCAAACAGAGGCATTTACGTTTTTCCGTCTTCCATAGGAATTGTCCTCTGGCCGAAGTATCAGTAGCATCGGGGAGGAAAACCCCCATTTTGCCAGTTTCCACTTTGTTAATGCATTGACGACGCGCTCAAACAATTCTGCCGTTTAGAAATACACAAAGTCGAAGTTCCTTTCGCTTAACCTAGTGAACAGATGCAATTTGGATTGGCCCACGGTGGAGCTTACCTAAAAGGTGAAGTAACATAGTCCACAGTTTGTATTCCCCCGAAATGTTGCTAAGTGAAACGCTTTTCCACGTCGATGGGTTGCCGTGCGATTGTGCTAAAACGGCTCAACGAGTCATAATTTGCCGAGCCATATGATACAATTTGGCACAGTTTGGCACAATTTGGCGCAATTTTTTTTTTTTTTTTTTTTTTTTTTTTAACTATACATGTATGCACCAACGGCTAGCCAGCTAGTAACTAGCTAGCTTTTTTTCTAGAGTATTTCTCCCCTTTCGAGCTACTTCCCCAATTGTATGCAACCTTTTTCAGTTGTTCACCTGAACAGTTTTTTTTTTTTTTTTTTAAAACGAAGCGATCAGGTGAAAGTTGCGCGTCTTTTCCCCCACGTTGTTTCCACACAACGGTTGGTAACATTTTTTCGTAAATTTCGTAAGACACGTATAATTTTTAAATGATTAAAAAATTTGCTCGTTTGCATTTAAGCCAAATTGTCCGTTTTCCGAGAAGATACAATTTTTTTCCTTTTTTTCCCACCAATCTGAGATTAACTTTATGCTCTTTTTCGTTTTTTAATTTTTTATTTTTCGCTACAGATCTTGTTCTTTCCTTTTCTTTTTCCTTTACGTCTTTGAAAAGTCAAAGGGGTGCAGTGCTCCAGTCATTTGTATCTCCCGACAAGTACACACAAAGTGGGGCTCATTTTTGTTGGTAATCCTTTTCTTTTTTTTTTTTATCGTTTCTCTGACAGATGATTAATTTTTTTCTTCTTTTTGTTACAGAAGTTGGCATCTCGCTAAGTGATGCTATTCTTCTTTGAGCAATTAGTGTGCACCTGAATCTATCCTTGTCGGTGTCTTCTTTCCCGTTCTGGCGTAAGTTCTCCTTTTTTATAGCGCCCTTATTTCGATTCAAAGCGGCAGCAGAGTGTAAGCATCCGTGATAGTAGTAGGACCAGTAGCAGTAGTAGCACCAGTAGTGGCTGGCGCTTTTAATTTTTTTCCTTAGCGAGCAGGCGTGGTGGCGAAGTGAGTCATACCTTTTCGCTCCTACCTCTCGGCGCTTACTTCTTTTACGATTGTGTGACCACTTTTTGTGTCGTTCCCTCCTTGATCTACGGCCACTCCCTGCCAAAAAGATGAGCACCGTTTACGCCCAGAGAAGCAGACCCAGCAGACCCGTCTCCAACGCGATCATCAAGAACAAGATGAAGAGGTCAACGGATACACTCAGGAAGAAAAAGGGGCCAACGAACAAGTCCTTCAAATGGAGCAAGAACAATACCGCGTATTGCGATGGAAGCAGGATTGCTAACAATAAAGGGAAGCAGCAGGAAGGGGACAAGAAGAAGGAGGAGCAGGGGGGGAAGGCACTAAAGTGTAAGAAGTCAAAAATGGGAGAAAGGGGATTAACTAAGAGTATGAAAAAAGGCAAAGATAGCAGCACGCATGATAATGTGCATGATCATCCGCAGGACAATCCGCATGAGAATGTTCATCCCCACCATGCACTAAAAACAGGAAACAGTGAAAATTTCAAATTCTCTAGGAAGGGGTTCATTTTAAGCTTTACAGGAAATCTGCAGGATTTTTATAACCTCTCCGAAGAACCACTAGGGAAGGGGACCTACGGATCCGTGTACAAAGCAACGGACAAACTGCTCAAAATTCAGAGAGCTGTCAAGGTGGTGTCGAAGAAGAAGCTAAAGAATGTACCCCGATTTAGACAAGAAATTGACATCATGAAAAATTTAGACCATCCTAACGTGATAAAGTTGCTAGAAACCTTTGAAGATAGTAAGCAGATTTATTTGGTGATGGAGCTATGCACAGGTGGAGAGTTATTCGATCGAATTGTAAAGAAAGCACCCTTCTCTGAAATGTACACGTCCTTTATCATGAAGCAGGTTTTCTCCGTTCTTAACTACCTGCACATTAGGAATATATGTCACCGAGATGTGAAGCCAGAGAATTTTTTATTTTTCGATAAGTGTCCAGAATCGCTAATCAAGGTGATTGACTTTGGCTTGGCTTCCTACTTCAGTGACACGAACTCGGAGATGAAGACGAAGGCTGGGACCCCCTACTATGTCGCCCCGCAGGTGCTAAGTGGCCGCTACGACTACAAGTGCGACTTGTGGTCCGCCGGCGTGCTGTTCTACATCCTCCTGTGCGGCTACCCCCCCTTCTACGGCGAGAGCGACCACGAGATACTCAGCAAGGTGAGCAGTGAGCGGTGAGTGGTTAGGCGGCATAGAGTGGTTAATCGGCATAGAGCGGTTATGCAGAATCGATCGATTAGGCGGCATCGCGCGGTTATGGAGCCGGGCATACGTGGTGGTCACCTGCCTGATGTGGTGAAGTGGTGGGATTGTGACATTTTACATCACAGCGGACCCCTCCACTTTTGCTGTCTTTCCTCACTTTTGTTGCTTCCCCCATTTCGCCGCCTCACAGGTCAAAAGCGGAAAATTCAACTTCAAGGGCAAGGAGTGGACCAACGTGACGGAGGAAGCCACTGACCTCATCAAGCGCTGCCTAACCATGGACCCGGAAAAACGGACAACGGCCAGCGAAGCGCTCAGGCATCCATGGTTTAAGAAGAAGCCCAGCCTCTTCAACCTGGAATTTAAGATGGATATCCACGTGCTGGAAAATTTCAAGAATTACGCCCTCATGCTACGCTTCCAAAAGCTATCCATGACGATTATTGCTCAACAGAGCAACGACCACGATGTGCAGCAGCTGAAGGCGACATTTCTACACCTGGATGAAGAAGGAAAGGGGACGATAACGAAGGCGCAGCTGCGAAAGGGCTTGGAGAAGAGCGGCTTGATGTTGCCCCCGAATTTTGACCTTCTCCTGGACCAGATAGACAGCGACGGAAGTGGCAACATCGACTACACTGAGTTTTTGGCGGCCGCGATTGACAGGCGGAAGCTCTCCAAGGTGAGTCGACCCCGCTGGTTAAGCGGCAGATTACGCGGCTCATTACGCTGCTCTTCAGCCAAGTGGCGTAGTCTTCCTCTTTGAGGCTCTTTTTCGACCCCATTTTTACTTCCTTATCTTTTGCGCGTCTTCTTCCACCTCCACCCCTCTTGCAGAAACTCATTTACTGCGCCTTCCGCGTCTTCGATGTGGACAACGACGGGGAGATTACCACCGCGGAGCTGGCTCACGTATGGACCTTCACCCGCCCTGCACGGGAATGTGCTCACGCGCATACGCACAGAGGCCTAGCAGTATAGCTGCGTTGCATAACATTTTCGTAGCAGAACAGATGTAATTGCCCTTCATTTATTTCACCGTCCCACCGTTTCGCGGCCTCCTTCCAGATCCTTTTCAACGGAAACAAAAGAGGAAACATCACAGAGAGAGACGTCAACCAAGTTAAGAAAATGATCCGTGAGGTGGACAGAAATGGTGACGGGAAGGTAATCAGGCGAATTCGGCGAAGAAGTGAACAAGAAGAGAAGCAAAGATATGCTATGTCGCTGTGTCCAGCTGCTATCTTCGCCAAATGGAGGAAACCTGCCTGCGTGCATACCTGCACATAGCACACATGTATGTGAGCAGGTGTGCCCCTTGGTATGCCTTTCTTCCCTCGGTTTTTCATTTTTTTTTTTTTTTTTTTTCCCCTCCGCAGATCGACTTTTACGAGTTTTCCGAAATGATGAAGTCGACGTTCTAGCCGCTGGGGTTAGCGGCCATTATCTGCAGGCACACACTGGGGCAGGAAAGAAGCGACCCGTTTAGGGGCAGACGAGCAGTGGCACGTTTAGGGGGGGTCGAATTGTTCCCTCTCCCCCGCTGGGTCTACCGCGTCCAGGACATCACCCGTCATCCCTTTGGCCTCTTTAATTTTTTCCCATTTTTTAATTTTTCCCAGTTTTTAATTTTTCGAATTTTTTAATTTTTCGAATTTTTTAATTTTTCGAATTTTTTAATTTTTCGAATTTTCCAATTTCCGGCATCCACATACCGCTGCCGCTCTCTCCACGGATGATTTAATTTTTTTTAAGCGCCCTCTGAGCATTGATTTTATTTTTTCTATTTTGTTTTATTTTTTGCTATTTTTTTTTTTTTTTTGTCCTTTCTTTGGAGTCTTACTGTGAATGCTCCACTCGTTGCGCAATAATTAACTCTGTCCGTTTGAGCGGCCCGACAAAAAATTTGTTGCCTGCACGTGTGCACGTAGTGCTACTCGGCCAAAAAAGGGGGCATCTCAAGCGAGGGACACAACTGCACTGGTGAGTATACATGCTGATGGTGGTCTTTGCTATCGAGTAACTACGTTCCGAAGAGGGCGGAACTATGACAGATTCGTGAGGAGAGGGGATGGACTAGGGGTGTCCCCTCAGCTTAGCAATAATTGGGGAATCCTCGTTCGTATGGCCCCGCGATGTTTTGTATTTCCCGACTCGTCCGTTGCGCCATAGTGAAGTAGGAGAGAAGCACTGTTCCTTTATACACATGCGGGACATCCAAATATGATGAGGGCCCTTGTACATAGGAAGGTAGGTACTGTAAAATTTGTTTTTCCCGTATCCTATGCCCAGAGGGGGGTAATTCTCTGTTCAGGTCATGGGATATATCCCACTTGGAAATGGCACCTACCAGTTGTAGTGATTCAGTTCTGCTGGTTTTATATGTTCCCTTGCGGGATGATGTTGGTTCCGCCTCCTCTCCACGGAGAGTATTTCAGGGGGCCAAGAAGGGAATGGAGGAGAAAAGAAGGGGTGATGACTAAGTTTGGCAATCCACGGAAAAGAGCAAAACATGATATAGGAGTAGGACGGCGAGCTTTGGGGGGGACCCATTTTGGGGACAGTCCATACAGCGACCACTTGGCAAAGAGGCATTATTGATTGCTATGTGGTGGCGGCACAGTGGGAGAGAAATTGCGGGAAAAATTCTTCACATAGAAATGTATGCCCTTAAAAAAAAAATACCAACATATATTTTATATGTATATTTATGTACATGTACCTGGAGAGGCTAACTCCTTTTTGCCAAATGTAGGGGTCGCTTTTGCGGCACGGTACTCCAAGTGGCGTCATAAAATCGGGTACTCTTATTCTTCCCTACAGCATCAGCGGCCTGGTCCTTTTTTTTTTTTTTTTTCTCGACTTTGGGATGTTTTTGACCCTTTTGTAGTGACGTTAGTAGGCTTTACAGAAAGGAGGGATTTCTTTTTTTTTTTACCTCTGTTCAGCCCATTTAACCTATTTTTCAAAGTTGTTTTTTTCCCATTTTGAGGCTTCTTTAACTCATTTTAAAGTTTTTTCTAGGCTCATTTTTTTTTGAGGCTTCTTTAACCCATTTTTAGCTTCTTTTTAACCAATTTTAAAGTTTTTTCCCCCTTTTTTTTCTACTTTTTTTTAATCCCTTTGTGACCTCTCCTGTATTCCCCCGCAGCAGGAACCGAGCGGTGCCTTCTCGTATCAGAAGCCGAAACTGCTGCATTCGCCCTAATTTCTCACCGGCATTTCCCTTCTGCGTACTTTTGTTGTTTTCTACCGCTTTGTTTGGCCAAAAAAAGGGGAAAGAAGAAAGGAAAAAAAAAAAAAAAAAAAGTTACAAATGTTTATATTTCATACGTATGTAAATCTCCATTCCAATAGCGTAACTGTAACCTATTTTGCTAATTTATTTTATTTTGAAAAAAAAAAAAAAGCGAATCGGGAATTTTTTTCCCCTCGCCCTGCTTGTATGTACACCGGGCAGGGAGAAGAAGTTGCCTCAGGGAGAAAAACAGCTCTGTTCTGTTGTTCTATGTTCTGCTCTACTATGTTCTGATCCGTTTTTCTCTCGTCTTCCCTTCTTTATTCTTTTTTTCCTCTTTTTTTTTTTTGTCCTTTTGACTGATTTCCTTCATCCCCACCCGTTTGTATCTCCGTTGTTAAGACATTAGAGGCACCGGGGGGGGAAATTGCGAATTCAGACTGATTTTGCTTCCATTGGAGTAAGAGGCAAATGAAGAAATGAATCATGTCACAAGGGTGGACGACGTGAATCATCCCCTAAGGGTTAACCAAGTGAATAATCCCACGCGAAAGACGAAGCCGCGTAATCGTGGCAAAATAGGACAAAGCAGCACAGGAGCGGTGGCGAAAGGGGACGAGCAACCGACGCTTTAGATCCTCAACACTTCGCAGAAAACGCACTTGGCACAGAGGGCGCTGCGTAACAGAGGGCGCTCCACCCCCCGTATGACCTTTTCCCCCCCGGGAATGTCTCGTTGTGCACCCTGCGAGAGGACCCAACTAGAGAAAGGGGATATCCGTCACCCATGATGATACAACCCCAAGAAGTGTAAAAGAAAAATGAGAAAAGACGCCACGAATAGGAGCTACCTGGACATCCTTCGGTTTTATAGCAAAGATGAGCATCAGCAGGGGGTGCATTTTGCGGGGGGGGTGGAAAGTCAAGGCGGATTGCAAAGTGGCAGTTCCTTCAGTACAGTAAAGAAGAAACAACATTTTTTCAACGTGCGCGACTGGGATGGAGGTGACTGTGTCCAAAGGAATGACGACCAACACTCGGGGAAAGAAAAAGCGAGTCTCAACACGGACTCGTTTTTCAAAACCCTCTTTTTGAGTCAGAAGATGGGAAGCAACAACAGCCACCATTATAGCAATAATCACCATTATGGCAGTAGTCGCCATCGCGACAACCCCTTCGAGGAAGAAGAAAATAATAATACCCAGAAAGGGAACATACAAAAAATGGGAACTTATGGTGGGGGACATAACAGAGTCAAACCCATACACGACCAAGACAAACTAATTCAAGATCTGAGAAGAGAGCAGAGGATGAGAATGCTTCATCTGGAAAAGCAACATGAGTGCATTCGAACTCATCAGAAAAGAATTGCTAGCTGTTTTGTTACCTACAGGAAGAGGAGAACCTGCACCATCTGCTTCCTTAGTAATAATTTAGAGCACATGGAGAAGTGCAGAAACTGCTCCCTGTACTTTCACGTGTACTGCTACAAGATGTTTCGAGACAACTTCAATTTGAGCAATTTTGTGTGCGACGTGTGTGTCGACTACGAGGGGGGGGCGGACTGGGCCGCGGTAGGAGATGCGCCGGCCCCTACGATCGTCGGTACCACTGGTGGTGTTGCCTCCAACAAGGCCGCTCATTACGCCACCCACCGTGCCTGCCACTATCCATGCGATCTCCAGCGTACGGGTCAGCAGTACAGGAAGTATCACTTTGCGTACCAAAGGAGAGTTGGCGACGCGACCCAGGGACCCCTCGATTGTGGCCCCCAAATGGAGGAAGCAAAGGCTCCTCAAAGTGTTTCGTGGAGGAGAAGGCGATTTTTTAAATGCCTAAGTGATCCCGAGTTTGGCAACAGTAATGATATCATCCTCTCTGGTAAGGGAAATCAAAAAAGGAATGGGGCATCCAAAAGGAGAGGACAAGCTGTGAAGACACCCACTGATGATTGGTCCAATAACAATGCCAGTTACCACCGCGATATCGCATATCAGCGTGACGTCGTATACCACCGCGACACCTCCTACCAGTCCGACACGAGATGCAACCGAAATGTAAGTCATGACACAGGGCCCTATAACAAGAAGGCAAAGAAGCAACTAAAGAGAAGGGCTGATTTAGAAATGAATCCAGAGAAAGTTACTAAGATGAGGGGCAAATTGTTAAGACCTTTGGGGAGCTACAAAAAGGGCTCCCATGGGGAGCTTTCCCAGGGGCGGTCCCCTCGCTCAATGCTGTTTCCCCCGCAGCAAAGTCAGTTTAGTCAGCCCCCCCACGATGGGAAAAAGAGTCAATACATAGCAGCCATCTCGTACCTACACGCCATTCAGTACAAGCTGCACCTGCTCGAACGAGACAAGCAGGAAATAAAGTGCAGTATCTGTAATGGACTTCAAAGAAACGTCCTGATGATCAGGACGGGCCCAGACTTGTGGTTCCACCTCTGCTGTCTGTACTACAATGACATCTCAAAATGTTGCTCCCTAATGCATGTCTACTTTGAATGCTTTTTTCTCAAATTCTATAACGAAGATTATTTCAGTAATATGTATGCCAAACTGAAAGCCATGAATGAAATCATCATCCAGAAAATCAAGCAAGAGCTCCTCAGCAACTACAACACTACCATCCACAGTCACTCATTTAACTTCCTTATGAATCCCTACTACTACAATTTGACTCTCAAACAGATTAAGCACTTCATTTTTCATAATTTCATTTTGCACACAAATGTATTGTATGGAAGGTATCCTACTGGAGGGGGTACTTCGATTGCCCATGTCTCATCTGTGGGGAGAAATGAAGCGGAGTGCACCGTTCAGGGAGTGTCCTATGGCAATGTGAAGTGCGGAAACTTGGATGAAATGAACTTTGGGAGGAGAGGCAGGTGTCGCGTGAGGGGATCGTCCAGATGCGCACACTCCAGCAGGAGGAGGGGACGTCAAAAGGGCAGTCATTCCCGCGTTGGTGTGCATGCCAGGGTAGTTAGCCACGGGGTGTCGCGACCCGATGTGCAACTACCCCTCGCCCACCGCCTCGACGCGCACCACCCCTACCCCCGCTGCTCCAGTTTGAGTAGCGCCGCCAGTAGCTACGTCGCGACCAGTAGCACGCCCAGCTGTAGTGACTCCTCTGATGGAGCAAACAGGAGAGACGACGCACAGGATGTGGACGAAGGGGAATGCGATGCTGAATATGAAGGTGAATGCGAAGGCGAATACGAGGATGACCCATATCTGAATGGCTACGCAGACGACCTAACCATGTACAGTCAAAATGGACTAACCAATGTATACTGCATCGATACAAACAACTGCTCCGTCGTCACGGAGGATAACTACTACATTACGGACGTCGTTCACATCGTCAGTAACCACACAAGGAACGAAATCAACCTAAGTGCCAACAAGCTAAACGAATTGAATTTATTCTTCAAAGAAATTGAGCAGCTTATTTATAAGAGGGATTTTATTAACCTGGGCATTCTGAAAGAGATTAAAGAGAAGATCCTGCAGTCCGTGGCGAATAATCATTCCAAAATCTGCATTTTTTGTAAAAGGTCCACTGGCATAAAGACCAAATGTATGTTTCCATCTTGCTCTACTTATTTCCACATCACCTGTTACTATGAGTTTTTTCTGCACAGTGCCTACGTGGAGTGTCAGTGGAGGCGGGGCATCAAGAGGGACGACCGAATCGTCCGGAGGCAGGCCCAGAGATATGCACCGCAGAGATCTGCGGCCAAGAGACATACGGCGCAGAGATATGCAGCGAAGAGACACGCATCGCAGAGACATGCATCGCAGAGACATGCATCGAAGAGAATGACACCCCAGATAACAGCGCCAGAGGATCTGCTATTCAGAGCGAACAAACTGAGTAAGAGACGGGACCGAAGGAAGAGGCGCTTGCGCAACGGCATGGGTAGCGACGATGCCAGTTTGGGGGGAAGCGGCGGAAGAGGTGGGGGAGGCGAAACAAGCGAAAAAGGCGAAATAGGCGAAAAAGGAGAAATAGGCGGAAATTGCCAAAACAACGTTGGCCGTGGCACCCATTTTGACTTCTTCGCTCCATCTGGGGGAAGGACGGCGCCCAATGCAGCTGCTGAAGCGAAAACCCTCTCGAGACGGAACTCCCAGGAACAGCCCCCGATCGAAGCACCGAGGAGGGTGGCCCCCCACGTCCGGATCCAGTACTTTCGAAACATTAAGAGGAAATTAATGGACAGCAGAGAACAGCATATTGGAGGGCGTAGCAGAGGTGCAGTGGTGGAGGGGGGCCCTCCAGGTGGGTCATCAAATGGGGTGCCAACTGAGCCCTCCAAGATGAACCACCAGAGCATTGAAACGAAGATGACCCCGATTATATCCCCTTCGACCGGTGACCACGCGGAGAAGACAAATCCCTTTGCAAGGAAGGAAATAATCGACTCATCCCCCGAACTGCTTCCCCCTTCCAGTGCCGTAAGATTAGAGGACCCCCCTCAGAGGAGCAAACTCATCATGGATGCGAGAGAAGCTGACAGCGGGGGGGGTTCACTTAGCAGTCAACACGTACCATTCATCCAAAGTGGTAACCCTGTTTCGTATGACCAATGCGAGCGGGTTGAAGAGAGAAGGAGCGGCTTCCCAGGTGGTGGAGGTTGCAGCCAAGGTTGTTTCTTAAACGCCCGAAGCAGATGGTGGAAGAAACTAGTAGGTCCCCTGAGCGACTACACGATGGCCTCATTCGAGGAGGAGAAAGTGAACAGGACAGTTCAATCAAGGAGCAGCCACCATCCAGATCAACATGAGCATCAGAATGAACTTCTCCATCAGTATCCACATCAGCATAACCAGATGATGGTGTTGTCTCACCTGAAGCAGAATGCAGTGGAGAGAGCGCCTAGCAGAAACACCGAAATGGGAAATCCTCACGGGAGGAGATCTGTACAGAGTAGAAGTCTGTGTAGCGATGTAAACAGGACAGGAATGAACCGATGCACTGAGCCTACGTTCAACCATTGTGGGCAGTTTGCACCGAGGGATTGTGTCACCATAGGAGGTATCCCTCGGCAGAGTGAGAAGAAGACCGACGTGAGAATGAACAGACTGATGCAGAGGATGGTCCAGAAAACAGGTTCGAAAACGCCACCCAGGGTAGCGCCGAAGATGACCCCCAAAATGACGGCAAAATCGCGGAATCGACGGAATCGACTGCAGGGGAGTGACGACTGCGGGAGCTTTTCCTCCCTATCGTCTCTCCTCTGCTCGTCCATACCATCCGACTGCCATGAAACCTCCTTCGGCTCCATCAAATCGTCCGATCGCTCTCTGTCCCTCCACTCCAAGTCAAATTCGATGTCCCTACACTCATTGACCATCTCATCGGCGTCATCTTCATCATCCAGCACCTACGCGTCATCCTCGGGTTACTCGCCCGACTATCTAGCCCCTTCTTTCAGACAAGTAGCATCGGCAAAATGGGACAACTCTTCCTTTTCTTCTTCTTCTTCCTCCTCCTCCTCCTCCTCCGCCTTCTCCGTGATGTCAAACTTTAACCGAAAGGCCAAGTCAATATCAACCTCCCCGTCTGCAGCATCGAATAGATCCTTCCGAAATAGCAACTCGATATGTAGCAGCAACTCGCAAGAAGCGTTATCCTCCTCGTGTGGAGAGGCCTT